GAATCTGCTAACAATTCTTGCACACAGATTTTCTAATGGAGTGGTTCTTGTTCCTCCTGGTTTGTTTATAAAGGCCACTGTTAAACTGACCGAACAAATCTGAACAAAAGATAATTTGAGGTGTAGATTTAAAAAAAAAAAAAAAAAAAAATTCAAATAATTTAAAATGTAGATGCTTCCAAACTGCTTTCAGTTTCTTTAAATTTAAAGAATATTTCAAGTCTTCCTGATTTCAATAGTCTCTTGCCGTGAGCTGCAGATAATGTGCCACGATAGAAACACAGAATGTGACGGCAGATAAGAACCATTCGGCCCATCTAGTCTGCCAAATTTTCTAAATACTTTCATTAGTCCCTAGCCTAAACCCAAAGTTAGGATAGCCATATGCCTATCCCACGCATGCTTAAACTCCTTTACTGTGTTAACCTCTACCACTTCAGCTGGAAGGCTATTCTATGCATCCACTACCCTCTCAGTAAAGTAATACTTCCGGATATTATTTTTAAACCTTTGCCCCTCTAATTTAAGACTATGTCCTCTTGTTGTGGTAGTTTTTCTTCTTTTAAATATAGTCTCCTCCTTTACTGTGTGGATTCCCTTTATATATTTAAATGTTTCTATCATATCCCCCTGTCTCGTCTTTCCTCCAAGCTATACATGTTAAGATCCTTTAACCTTTCCTGGTAAGTTTTATCACACAATCCATGAACCAGTTTAGTAGCCCTTCTCTGAACCCTCTCTAAGGTATCAATATCCTTCTGAAGATACGGTCTCCAGTACTGTGTACAATACTCCAAGTGAGGTCTCACTAGTGTTCTGTACAATGGCATGAGCACTTCCTCTTTCTACTGCTAATACCTCTCCCTATACAACCAAGCATTCTGCTAGCATTTCCTGCTGCTCTATTACATTGTCTGCCTACCTTTAAGTCATCAGAAATAATAACCCCTAAATCCCTTTCCTCAGATGTTGAGGTTAGGACTATCAAATATTCTGCCCTTGGGTTTTTACGTCCAAGATGCATTATCTTGCACTTATCCACATTAAATGTCAGTTGCCACAATTCTGACCATTTTTCTAGTTTACCTAAATCATTTGCCATTTGGCTTATCCCTCCTGGAACATCAACCATGTTACATATCTTATGTATCATCAGCAAAAAGACATACCTTACCCTCAAGACCTTTCTTTCACTTAAAGAAACTCCGGAGGCTAAAAAAGGGATTCTTAATCACCAAAGAAGTTGAACTTTTGTTAAGTGCCAAATCTGAATATTCCATAATTTTATAAGATTTGCCTGCAGCAGTTTTATTAGTGCCTTGACCCAATGTACCATCGAAATGGTAGAAGTTAAACTTCTCATAACTTTACTTAATGTACTGAATCTGTTTTTGCAGAATTTCTCAATTTCGGTCCTTGATTTATTTTTCGGTATAAAAAAAAAACAAACAAACAAAAAAAAAGTTTCATCTGTAGGGAACCTATGATGGTACCCAGGAACAGTGGTGTACTAAGGGGCAGGGGGAATGGTAGTGGACCGCCCTGGGTTCCACCAGTTAAGAGGGGGTGTCACTATGAGGGGGCCCATCAGGTGACCCATGCACTTTGTGCCACCTGAAGCGCATTTGTCTTTATCATCTCTAGTGGCAGGGGGAGCCATGATCTCCCCTACATTATGCCGGTCCACCGTCCCTCTTTAAAATCCTGCCTGGCGACGAGGGAGCCCTTTACTTATTGTGCACAGCCCTCGCAGGAAGAGCACAGAGATCCCAGAAGCAAGCACTGTCTACCAGGGACTGAGAATCCACTCCAGCCCACCCACAGCAAGGTAGGAGGGCTGTGTGGACCACCTAATTACTAAAAGTATGTGCGCGCGTGTGTGTGTGTGTGTGCATGTTAAATTATGTGTGTATTTCATTGTGTTTGTGTATGTCTGATTGTGTGTGTAACTGTGGCAAAGTATGTGTGTCTATGTCTCTGTGTGTGTATTTATACACACACTCAACCACAGATTTACACACACAGACATACGTGTGTGTATTTTGAATACCTGCATTCAAACACTGACACTACATACAAACATACCCCTACATTCACTCACACATACTCCATAGAAAAACATGTTTACATTCAAACACTGCTCAGTGTTAAATATATTAAAAGCATTTGCGGGTGTTTTGTACATTTTAAAGTTTGGGAGTAGGGCAGAGGGGGTATGTCCAAAATAGGACCCGTACCGGGTGCCAACTGCTCTAGTTACGCCCTGCCCAGAAAACATTTTTCTGAGTTGTAATTTTTCCATGTTGAAAATCCACCCATGATATTCTAGCAAAGAAGAAACTGCCACAATATTTCTGTTTAGGTGATCTGTGATCTTGCAAATAGTAGCCAATAGTCTAGATATGGAATACTTGTATTCCTCTTTCCCTTAGAGCACCTTAAAGGACAATGAGAATCTTGATGAATACCCATGAAGAAGATAAGAGGCCGAATTGCAACGCTCCAAATTGAAAAAGTATAATCTTGTTTCTTTCTCTTATGGCAATTTTAAAAACTTTCCTTTGGATTGGTATGTGGATGTGGAGATTGGCATTGTTAAAGTCCAGGGTAGCCATGAAATTTCTTGTCTGATCAGATGAATAGCTGACTGAATGGTTTCTGAGGTTTTTCATTGTGATGTATTTGTTCACGTTCTTCAGATCTAAAATCAGGAGAGGGCAAGAGCCATCAGGTTTTTAGACCAGAAACAATCTTGAATATATTCCCTGGAATTCCTCTTTGTCTGGAACCTTTTCTATAATGCTCTTTATGAGATATGAGACTGTAGAGCAAAGAGCTTACCTTATGTCTTTTGGTTGGACTGCTGAAAGGAAAGATTGGGGAGAAAGTCTATAATGCATCCTCTTAGAATAGTATCTTGTACCCAGAGATCCTGAGTTGTAACTCCCAATTTGCTTGCAAATTGAGACAATCTTCCTCCTACTTGCCAAGTGAAATTTAAGTTTTTTGTTTTACTTTCTCTCTCTATTTTTGTCTTCAAATGTATGCCTTTTAGTAGGGCCAGAGTATTTTTCCTCGAAAAAGAAAGATTCTTGCCAATTTCTTCCTGAGAAGAACTTTGTGTTCCAATATCCTCTCTCATGGGAGAGCTTTCTTACCTTCTGCTATAGGCTTCAGTAAATGGTCTAAAGATGAACCAAAAAGTCAGCCTTGTTCAAACGGCATATCCAATTTGAAAGGAGTGTCAGATGATAAAGTTCCTAACCACGCTGTTCTACCCATGGATGTTTCTTGCTGATAAAGATTTTCACTGGTTGCATCAAAGGAATTCATGTTTTCTGATAAATCCAAAGGGATCTTCAAAGTGGTTATCAAATTCTTTGCCCTTGCCACTGAAGATTTTTTTTTTTTAAGGGTTTTACTCTGAGCAGCCAAAGCCTGGAAACTTCTGAATGAAGTTTATGACTTTTTGTCCAAAGGGACCCACCCCCCAAACAAACTGATCAGATTGCATGCAAAGACTCCTTAGCACCTCTACAATGAAATGTAAGCTTTTTTGAGCAGGGTCCTCTTCAACCTATCTTTCCTGTAAGTTTTCATGCAATTGTCCCATTTATACCAAGACCCTCCCCACTCATAATATTGTAAAGCGCTACGGAATCTGTTGACACTATAGAAATAGCAATAATAATAATAATAATAATAAACTGTTGCAGTCAAGATGCTAGGAGTGCCCTTTTCATTAGATCAAAGACTAAATAATTGCTTACTAAACTAAAATTAATACAATTAAGTAGGGAAAAGATTGTATCATTGACTGTGTGTGTGCGCCATGTCCCTATATGAACAAACCAAGTTATTCGGTCATTATTTAACTAATGAACACTTAACAGGATCTACAATTAAAGGCTAGAATATGGAAGATTTGGAGATAAATGTTATCATTGTGAATATAGTTCTAATGCCTCTGTTTTGTAGGTGTGTACAAGTCAGCCAACCAGCCAAACCTATTATATTAATTATTAACATTTGCTGTACACCGTAAAACATGTTGTAAGAAAGTTTATGCTAAGATTCAAACCTTTGTTGTCTGCTGCAATAAATCCCAGAATATTTTCATGTCGCAGCATCACAGTTTGATAAATTTCTGCCTCCCGAAACCAAGAGCGCTCTTCTCTGGAGGAAAAAATTTTTACTGCAACTTCTTCTCCTCTCCATTTGCCACGCCAAACTTCACCAAACCGACCTTTTCCAATACTTTCTTGTAGAACTATAGTTCTAGCAATTGTTCTTTGCACAAGTAATGGCAAACCTTAAAATGACAAAATGCAAACAATCTCTTCAGTTTCTAGGAAGAAATTTAATTCATAGGAATATTTAACATGTTTCAGAAAGTACCATTTGCAAATCCTCATCATCTTGAAATTGCAAATAAATGAATAACTAAAAATGATAATAAATGGACTAACTTGAAAATATTGTTTACCTATAATCTAGAAAGAGTATGTTTTAGTAGCACTCAATACTACTACAGGGGATAATCATTGAAAGTAGTATTTAATAAACAGACTCTTGGTTTAGTGCAACAGCTATTCTCATACAGGTTCCTGTAAACAAAAATACATACTTGAGTTTCTCTGCACCTTAAATTAAAGTGATCATCAATTAAAACCATAATTTCTTTTTAAAACCCACTTCAGTATGAGATTAAGCAAATAATGTAATTTAACACAGAACAATAATCAATGAAGCATGCATCTTTATAGATACAGTTAAATAAAAGTAAAATATATAGAAAACAGCAATTTACTACCTGAGCCAGATCCTGAAGTCGTCATATCATAAATCAGATCTTTTAAAGTGGCACCCTCAGATATAAAGGGACGATCCAGTGATGGATCTTCCTCATTTGGAACACGATGATGAATGACTGTGCGATTATGGCAGACATACAAGATCAGCATCAGTAGTATGCAAATGAAGCAAACTGGTCCTGCAATAACTGCAGCCAACTCGACTGGGCTTAAGGTAGGAAAATGGTTTTCTGGTGGTGGAACTACATTAAAGAAAATAAAATTCAGTTGATAAAAAATAAAATTAAAAATACATATAAAAAGTTCATTCAAATATACTGGATAATAGATGGACACTAAAGTGAAGTGCCCTAAGGTGCTGTTCCCTCTTCCTCTCCTCTGCCTGCAAATATGGAGTGGTAGTGATAGACGCACAATATCAGCTGACGCTCTAAAGCCAACATTTGGTACCCATAGAGAGTAATGCTTCAGGAAAGTTCACACATTTCCAAAGTATTACTTACAATTACTTACTATGGAAGGCCAGTGCTAATGCTCTCAACCCCTAACGCTGCTCCACAAATGCTTTGAACATTTGCAAGTAGGCACTGGAGAAGAAGGCAGACTGGCACCTGCAGAATTCCACTTTAATATGAAACTATTGGAAAATGTATTGAGTTTAGAATGTACCCATTTAGTCTGGGAAATATAACAGCCTAAGTGACATGTTGGGGTTTCGGTGCCTGGGGTGGTTCTTTAATAAGCATCTTAAAGGTAAAAGTTTTATTTTGAACCTAATTTAGCTTCAAACATGGCTATTTCTTGCAGTTGTAATAATGCAGGGTACTCCCACTGTGTTTTTCAGTTTTTTTGCTGCTTAAACATGTTTTTATAATTTTTATAGCTTTGTCTAAAATGTGAGATAGTTATGAATGGTAAGTTCGCTAAAATATTTTATTTAAAAAAATTATTGCAGCATTCTGTCTCCTCAGCCTCTTTATTCAAAATAATTCCTTATTGCTCTTTCCTGTAACTAGGTGCACAAAACGTTCCTCTTCTCTACTAAACCGCGTTTCTCCAAGGAATTTTTTGTGCATGTATACAATATTAATTTAGGACTTGTCAAAATGAACCTTGACAAAGACAAGAGAGGGGAAAAAGCTACTTTGTTAAATAGAATGTTTTTTTTCCTGCAGATTCTCTTTGGGGTATAATTCTGTAATCTTTGCCAGCCTTTTCCCTTTTTTGATCTGTGCAGGGGAACACACCAGAGGATTCTCTTCGAGTAGCCTCTGTGCTGCAGTTACGAGCACATGCATTCATGCGATTGTGGCTTTCCTAAGCTTCACAATGAACTCTAGTACAGCTCATTGAAAAAGGGGGAAGGCAGTGCACACACTGTTCCGTTAGTCCTGTGACACTAAGAGTAAGATAATCTTCCAGGCAGCCATATTAAAATCCATGGAAGGTTTTCTGCCAAATATAAAAGTGCCTATTTTTATTGAAATCGGCACTTTTATATACTGTTACAAAGATGATATGCTTTATGAGTCTGCTGAGTTCCTTTAAAGGGCCAGTATAACCACTTTATTGAGATGAAGCCGTTGCAGTGTCCGTGTCCTCTGATGTCACCTTACATTAAGTGGTTTCTAATGTTTTAATGCTAAACAAGAGTTGCCAGCATACCATCCCCTTTGTGCTGCTTGGGCTAATGAGGATGCATTAACCTGCACTGCAATAAGCTACTGATTTTGGTTGAGAGCGTCAGCAGACATGTTTGAACCCATCACAACGCTCATTGCTGGTACTAATTGGTATGGATAGAAGGAAGTATAAACGCTCTACTCTACCCACAACTTCAGTAGGTACCGGACTGTGGGTGGCTAGTGACCCTTATTTAGTGCTAAACTTTTCAAAAATGGTTTAACACTGAATGGAAAGACAGTGCAAAGAAGACTCCAGGAACTATACCAGTTCAGAGAAATGAAAAGATTATAATACCTACAGTGTTTTTTTTTTGTGCAGTCACGTAAGTGAGTGCCTTACATTTACTGAACTGCCCCTACCAATCAGGTTTATAAATACAGGTTGCTTTGTTTAACCCCTTAAGGACTGAGACAAATGTACACGTTGTGATCAAAACAAAAACAAAAACTTGAATTTGTGCTATATGTCTGTTCAGGCGTAATTTGCCTCTTTCATATTATGTGCACCCACACTTATATACCGAATATACTTGAGTATAAGTCGACCCGAATATAAGTCGAGACCCCTAATTTCACCCCCCAAAACTGGGAAAACGTATTGCAGCTGCTTGTTAGCTGGCCAGGAAGGGGGGGCTCTCATTCCCTGGTGGTCCAGTAGCATGGGCTGTGTAGGAGGGGGGCTGGCAGAGAGCTGTTACTTACCTTTCCTGCAGCTCCGGTCAGCTCCCCTGTAAGTGTCGCGGTGTGTTGCCACGGTAACCCGTGGCAACGCTCTGACCCCGCGGCTCTCGCGAGACTTGCAGTGGAGCTGACCGGACCGGAGGAGAGAGAAGGGAGCTGACAGGAGCTGCAGGAAAGGTAAGTAACAGCTCTCTGCCAGCCCCAAACAGGATCGGCGGGCTTGTAATGAGCCCGGCGGTCCTGATCTGTATTATGGCAATGCAAGTTGCCATAATACAGACATTGACTCGCGTATAAGACGAGTGGGGGTTTTTCAGCACAAAAAAAAAAACAAAAATGTGCTGGAAAACTCGTCTTATACGGTATCATTTTTTTTTCAGAAAAAAAAACTTTCATTTAACATCAAATATTTAGGTATAAAACAATTTAAGATGATTAAAATATAAAAAAAAATGGGAGAAAATAAGAATTAAAAAAAATGTTTAGTTCTACGTGACATTCTAACTGTGAATGTCATAATACTGTTTGCTTTTACTGCAATAAAAAACATTTGTATTCAGCGATGTCTTACGTGTAAAACAGTACCCCCTATGTACAGGTTTTATGGTGTTTTGGGAAGTTACAGAGTCAAATTTAGCATGTTACATTTTTCAGTTTTTTCATATTGAAATTCACCAGATTGGTTACGTTGCCTTTGAGACCATATGGTAGCCCAGGAATGAGAATTACCCCCATGATGGCATACCATTTGCAAAAGTAGACAACCCAAGGTGTTGCAAATCGGGTATGTCCAGTCTTTTTTAGTAGCCACTTGGTCACAAACACTGGCCAAAGTTAGTGTTAATATTTGTTTGTGTGTGAAAAATGCAAAAAACTAATTTGAACGCCAATTTTGGCCAGTGTTTGTGACTAAGTTGCTACTAAAAAGACTGGACATACCCCATTTGCAATACCTTGGGTTGTCTACTTTTGCAAATGGTATGCCATCATGGGGGTGAAAAAACTGAAACGCAAGCCTAATATTTGACTAACTTTTGAAAACACCATAAAACCTGTACATGGGGGGTACTGTTATACTCAGGAGACTTCACTGAACACAAATATTAGGGTTTCAAAACAGTAAAACGTATGACAACAATGATATTGTCTGTGTAAGTGCCATTTGTGTGTGAAAAATGCAAAAAATATCACTTTCACTGACGATATCATCGTCGTAATACATTTTTCTGTTTTAATATTTGTGTTCAGCGAAATCTTCCGAGTAAAACAGTACCTTCCATGTACAGGTTTTATGGTGCATTGGAAAGTTACAGGGTTAAATATAGTGCTATCAAATTAAATTCCCTTGACTTTCGGCCTGGGTTGTCAGGCAGGTCCCGCATTTTGTAATTAATAAAATGACGTAATTATGTAAAATTATTACATAAATATATACGTAGAATTAGAAATATAGTTATATAATTTTTTATTTTAAATATTTATATATATATATATATATATATATATATATATATATATATATATATATAAAAATAATTTTGTTCAATGTGTATTTTGATATATATATTAATTTTAAAATACAGTTAGAAGAAATTACACATTCATTTTTATATTAATGTATTTACATTTATATTTTATAATATATATAATGATAATTATATTTATTTAATCAATATCATTGTACGTGTACTTTTGAATATATATATATATATATATATATATATATAAACACACACACTCTAATATTAAAATACTATATATATATATATATATATATATATATATATATATATATATATATATATATCTAAAATATTATTTTACACTGTTTTAAACTTGATTTTTACAGGCAGCAGGGGGAGTACCTGTCATTACAGGCACTCCCCCTGCTGGCTATGCCGTCTATGTGATCGTGAGGTCCTAGCAATGACCTCGCGATCACATGGCCCAGTGGGGCCGAAGAGGACCCAGGTAAGTCCCCATACCGCGATTGCCGGCGACCGGGTAAGTACATAGGACGGCAGGGACGTCCTATGCCGCCCACCCGGTGTTTAGAGCTGGTTCCCTAAGGACGGCATAGCAGGCCCGTCGTCCTTAAGGGGTTAAAGAAAATATGCAATTAAACATGCAGTATGTTCAAAAACTAATTTTATTACCTTCTGGGCTCTCTATCCTTTCATTGCACAAGTCCTTGTTACAGCAGTAAGTCTTATAGCCCGGAAGTACAGGCTTGACGCAAGCAAAAGGTCTGCCCTGGGGAAACAGGTCTTTTGAGTGGAGACACATTCTGTTGTGGGTTTCTTTGCCATCTTTGATTGTCGACGTTATTACACACATTCCATCTGTCTCACAGGTATTGTTCTCTTTTACACAATGCTCGCAGTAGCATTTCAATGCTGTATGAAAAAAACAAAATGATTAATATAAACTAGTAAAAATTGCTTTATTTTATTCCTAACTCTATAGTGTTCCTTTAATTATGTCATTAGCATGGTCACTGCCCTAAATTACTTTAATTCTGGCACTCTGGTGGGGTACCATCTCTCTTTTCTGGCAATTGTTTTGTGCCAGATACAATTTGGCATACATGTTAGTCTGTGTGATAATCTCCCATAAGAATAATCCCCCCAAAACAGCTGCATAAATTCCAGAAACCTATAGTGAGATAGGTCAGCATAAATGCCAGGACAGGTGTGAAATCATCAGGAGGTACCCAGTCATTTGCACCATGGGCAGTGCCAGGGAAATCAGTACTCTGAGGGCCATGCAGTATCTAGCAAAATAGTCATCACCTGTGTTACTCTTCCAGGCAGTGTGTGTTGCTTCAGAGTCTTCAGTAAAATTCTACAGTCCTCCTCGGGACTAAATTTAAGCACGGAACACAAACTTTATTAAACAATGTTATTTCACATGTAACTAACTTAAAGGAACACAAAAGGGTCTGGAATACAAGTATTGAAAACACTTTTAGGACCCTGTCCCCTCCCCCTCCTTATCACCTCAAATAGGATAAAAACTCACCTTTATTCCGGTGCCATGCAGGTCCGCCCGCGCTGGCTCCATCCTGCTCTGCCACCTTGTCTTAGATACTCAGAATTTGCAATCTCAGCCAATCCAATGCTTTCCTATGTGGGGCAGAGCCAAACTGTGCGCTAGCCAATCAGCACCTCCTCAGAGAGATGCATTGAATCAGTGCATTTCTATGAGGAACCTTCAGCGTCTCCATGCAGAGTCAGGAGATGCTAAACGTGTCCAGCACTGATTTAGGAAGCACCTCCAGTTGGCCCTATATAAATATAATAATACACATCTGCAATATCAAAATAGGTTTGGAGACTCATAATGTGTCCTGTCCAAAAAAAAAAAAAAAAAAAAAGTCTCCTGTATTCTGCTACAAGGGAAAAACTCCCCCAGCACTGATCCAGGAAGCACCTCCAGTGGCCGTCTGAGTGCCACTGGAGGTGTCCCTAGGCAGTAATGTAAACACTGTTTCTCTGATAATTCCCCACTGATTATCAACTAACTAAACCTTTCCTTTAGGGGATAAATAATTTTATTTATCCCCTAAAGGAAAAATAAAAAAATAGATCACAGTAAAGTACACTGATTGTTTTCAGATCAAATGGCAGGAAAAGTATTAAAATAAGGTTGATATCCTTTTCTGCCTCAATATACTCAATAGTGATTCAATATATTTGGAATATAAGCTATGCCGACTATGCGGACACTGCTTAAGTCAAGGGAGTGGTTTGGCTTTGACACACATCTCTTGAGAATTGCAGAGTGGTCAAAAACAGGAGTTTACAAGCTGTGGAAGGCAGACAATTTTTAGCACTAGCTTGGGTGGACCAAAAACTAAGTATGCAACTGGCAACCCAATATCTCCTTTTCTGGCCACTCTAAAAGTATGGCATGTAGTAGCTGCATGCTGGGAGTGTCGTCCTTCCAATCTTCACTGTACCCCCATTCCACAACCCAGCCTTCAAGCCAGGTTTGGAGGCACTCCCTTATACCACACGGTTTTTAACATTGCACCACAGATTACACATATGTTGGTGTACGGGAAAACGTAGACCATGTCAGAACTGACGGGTCAAGATAATTTGTCTTTCATGATTCAATTCAGATTCCAACAACTCCTGACTTTTCATAGAAACATCCCTTCAAAAATACATATCTTAAAAGGACCACTATAGGCACCCAGACCACTTCAGCTTAATGAAGTGGTCTGGGTTCCAGGTCCAGTTAGGGTTAACCCCCCCTTTTTTTTTTTTAATATAAACATAGCAGTTTCAGAGAAACTGCTATGTTTATAATAGGGTTTATCCAGCCCCTAGTGGCTGTCTCATTGACAGCCGCTAGAGGCGCTTGCATGCTTCTCACTGTGAAAATCACCGTGAGAAGACGCCAGCGTCCATAGGAAAGCATTGTAAATACTTTCCTATGAACTGGCTGAATGCGCGTGGCTCCTGCCGCGCATGCGTATTCAGCCAATGGCGTCGCTATGAAGGAGGAGAGCTCCCCGCCCAGCGCTGGAGAAAGGTAAGATTTTAACCCCTTCCTCTCCCCAGAGCCCGGCGGGAGGGGGACCCTGAGGGTGGGGGCACCCTCAGGGCACTATAGTGCCAGGAAAACGAGTATGTTTTCCTGGTACTATAGTGGGCCTTTAAAGGAACACTATAGTCACCAGAACCACTACAGCTTAATGTAGTTATTCTAAAGTATATATACTGTCCCTGAATGTGTGACATGTCTAGATTCCCTTTTATTCCAGAAGTTTGGTCCTTAAGTGGTTAATGAGATTAACAGAAAAAATTATTTATATATGACGTTACAACAATGTATTCTTCAAAACACACACACAGTATTACTCCAATTCGCCTTTCTTCACTTCTTAAAGGACCACTCTAGGCACCCAGACCACTTCAGCTTAATGAAGTGGTCTGGGTGCCAGGTCCAGCTAAGGTTAACCCATTTTTTTATAAACATGGTTTCAGAGAAACTGCTATGTTTATAAATGGGTTAATCCAGCCCTCAAATCCTCTAGTGGCTGTCTTATTAACAGCCGCTAGAGGCGCTTGCGTGATACTCACTGTGAAAAATCAGTGAGAACACGCAAGCGTCCATAGGAAAGCATTGTAAATGCTTTCCTATGAGACCGGCTGAATGCACGCGCAGATGGGAGGAGAGGAGGAGGATCGGAGGGGGAGAACTCCCCGCCCGGCGCTGGAGAAAGGTAAGATTTTAACCCCTTTCCTCTCCCCAGAGCCCGGCGGGAGGGGGACCCTGAGGGTGGGGGCACCCTCAGGGCACTATAGTGCCAGGAAAATGAGTATGTTTTCCTGGCACTATAGTGGTCCTTTAACTAATCATCTAATCTTGTAGATTTATTCCCTACATTTGTTGGCCCTATATAAATATAATAATACACATCTGCAATATCAAGATAGGTTTGGAGATTCATAATGTGTCCTGTCCAAAAAAAAAAAAAAAAGTCTCCTGTATTCTGCTACAAGGTAAAAACTCCCCCAGCCCCCCCTCCCCCCCAATACAGCACCATGTAGTCTATAGGTTGATCAGGTAAAGCTGTATTCACCGATTAGCCAATACTACTCCTCCCATATGCTTGCTGTAGCCTACAATGATCTTTGTTTTCAAGCATTTCTGTTCTTTTGTCAGACACTAGGACAGTACTTGCGTTGTAGGCAGCATGTACATATCTTTTTATCTGTGTACCGAAGGGCAAGCACCTCATCGTGGCGAAGAGCTGATGTTAACTCTCTAATCTTTTTGCCGCTTGTTAGGTTTTAGGGGAAAATCGCAGCATGTTTTACACACTGTGCCATATGCTAGGGTTTCAAAACAAAATACATTTTTAAAGAAAGCAATACTACTATAATAAATCAATCCATATATGGCCTTTATTAAAAAAAGAGAAGAAGCAGATCCCACGTAATCTTGTCATTTGTGCCCACAGAATCAGGGCATCCTGACCATCTTTCCCTTGATAAATACGAAATGCCCAGGTATACACAGTAGTGAGTTTGTTAATTTAATCCCATATCATGACCACTTTGTTGCAATATATTGCTTAAAACAAAAAACTTTAGACTTTTTGTTCCAATAAAACTGCCTTCCAGCAGCAATCTTGAGTGCCCGGACCAAATTTATTTTATCTACTAAACTGGGTTTTGCCAACAATGGCCCGGATAAGCACCTGGATTATTAAGTGTGAGTGAGGTATCCTCCATTAGTGAATTAATACAGAAGTTGGGATATGACATCACTTCAGCCCGGGATCACTAAAAAAGTGAGCAAGGGAGCAGAGCAAGATGACCGGATCAGAGCAGCCCCACTGAACCCCGGGGAAAGGATCTAATCCTGCTCTCCCATGGGATGCTGGTGGACTTTAATAAAAATATATTCATTTGTTAGTGTATGAGAAAATGTGTGTGTCTGTGTTTCTGTCAGTAAGTGTGTTTTGGTGACCAGCTGCCCCCAATTGCACAGAAAAGGTGTTTTTATCCATGCCATACCGGTATTGCCACAGCTGGCCCCACCTCCATGGCAGAGATAATCAATCTTTGAGCACTGGAAAGCTATTGCACATGCACGGCGCCAATCAGCACCTCCTCATAGAGTTGCATTGAACTGATGCACCTCTTATGAACCTTTAAAGACTGCATGGAGATGCTGAACATAGGTGCTGTGCGGTGTATTCATATTAAATTGTGTTCCATATATACATATATGGTGTGGGTTAAATATATTTGAGAGGGTTAAAAATCCTTTAAAAGTTTTTATTTTTTAAAAACACACAGGGGGACACTATGGACACACTGTAATAATGATCTTTCTGCAGCTCTCCCCTCAGATAAAGGTGAGGAAAGAGGGGCACTGAACAATGCCCCAGCCAATGTTAGAATTCACAGACTAAGACAATGCAATCCGTGATTGCGATGACAAACTGTCACTGTGATCACACGACTCAGAGCACCAAGACTGACTGCAGGATCCTCCGACGGCAATCGGCACCACGGGTAGTTTAGAGGTGGGGGGCAAGGAAACTAGATCATTAGGACATGCTATACCACCCTGTCTTTAAAGCCAGTCATTTGTAGGACAGCATAGCATGAAAGGGGTTAATAGCGATGACCAAAATTAAATCATCCATGTGTTAAAAAAAATAATTTTTATTTTTTTCCCCCTCTTTTGAGTGTATATATAGCTAAAAAAACGGCTTCAAACAAGAGATATGTAGCCTTTGCAAGTCAGGTGCCTCTTGCGATTAGCTCCCCTAAGCTAAAAGACCTGGAAGTAACAGGACCTGTTGTCTGACTGACAGCCAGGGAAGTTTTAAAGGTGATTAATACACAAATTGTATAGGGTATTTATGGTTTTTATGATGTGCTTATTATGTTTGGCTACATGGAGTAAACCATTTCTGAGAATTTATTTTCCACTTGATGATAAAGCTTGGGAATTAAAAAAAAAAAAAAAAAAATTCTTGACAGTGCACCAAATGAAAAAAATGAAACAGAGAATGTATTAATTTTATTTTTACTGCACCCATTGTGCACTATAGAAAAAAAAAAAAAGAAAAAAAACTCTGAAAGGACTGTTTTTATGCATTCGTTTACTGTAGGAGAGGCAGTCTGTGCAATATCCTGTAGAACTCCGACAGAAGGCAAAGCAGGTTTTGTTTATCTGTGCTACAGACAACTTTGATCCAATACAAAACATGAATTAGTCACCAAATCTAGTCATTAACCCCTTAAGGACGGATACAGTTGTACAAGTTCTGACCAAAACAGAACCTAGAATTTGAGCTAAAAAGGTTTGTTCAACGATAATTAACTTCTTTCATATTAACCACTTAAGGACACAGTTCAGAAGCTTGTCTTACTCTTAAGGACACAAGCAATTTTTGCGGTTTGTTTTCAACCTCAATTTGCATCACACTATATACACTTTTTTTTTTTAAAGGACACAAAGGGCTTTAATTTGATGTGAGATATACATATATAAATTCTCATCTATTATAAAAAAAACACATATTTTCTTTTTTTTTTTTTTTAAAGTGGGAGAAAGATTACTTTCAAAACAAAAAAAATGTGCATAATTAGTGCAGCTTAACAAAAAGTAGTTCACCAATTCATTTAGTTCTGATTTACGCTCGCGCTCTCTCTCTCTCTATATATATATATATTTTTATTTTTTATTTTTTTTTTTCTAGGATGATTTCAGTTTATTTTTGGCAGTTATTGGTCACAAAATACAATTTTAATATGGAATTATTTTAGAATTTGGTATGTTTGTCTTGTAAGGTTAAAATCAGTCACAGAAAACTAAATTGCCACACAAAAGTATATATTTATATAAAGCAGACATCACCTACAGGTATGACACTTTTTACGTAGCCATTTAACAGCCAATCTCTGTTATGTAGTGTAGTAAAATTTCAGTTTTTACTGTTAGAATTTTGATGAGTGTCATTTTGGGACATTGTAGCAGTTTGACTGTTGAAATTGCCCCACAAAGGCCTACCATTTGTGACACTCCAAAGTATTTTATATGGTGTATATTATGCCTTAAGGTAATTAATTTTTTTTCCCCACAAGTTGATGTCAAACTTTGTGGTAAAATATTTTGCATTTTTTACATGCGCATCCAAAAGGCTGGGGCCACAAAAAATGGCCCCGGCTGACAGAGAGGAGACCCAGGTATCTAGTGATACCTGGGTTTTCTGGTGTGAGCAGGGATTTAACCCTGCTCACACTGCAATGCTGTCTATGGGGATTTAAATCAACATTAACAGCTGCATGCCGACCTCACTGAGCTCTGCATGCAGCTCATCAAAAAGTCTGGGGCCACTAGACATGGGCCCCAGCTGACAGAGGGGAGCCCCAGGTTTCCAATGATACCTGGGTTTCCTGGTGCGTACAGGGATTTAACCCTGTTCATACCATGATCTAGATATAGGCATATAATTGCATTTTTAAGCATCTACATGTCGCGCTGACTTCCAGCACTGCATGTAGCACGTCAAAAAGTTAAGGGGCCACTAAAATGGCCCCAGCTTGTATAGGGGAGCCCCAGGTATCCATTACCTGTTGTGAGCAGGGATTTAACCCTGTGCACATGCATAGCAACAGTGGGGATTTAAATAAAAAGTGCACTCACACTTATACGTCACTTTGTTCAGGAGAAATAGAGCTTTCTTTCACATCAATATTGATACAGGAAACAATTTAATATGAATAAAATCTATTATTTAAAAAAAAAAAAAAAAAAAATATGGAATACCTTTTACCTGCCAGGTTTGGACTAAAATGTTGAATACTGTTTGTCTTTGTACTGCCTAACATGTAAATAGAGAAAAATTTAAATTGATTGGGGGATTGGCGATACACCAGAACATGCATGTCTCAAGAGTGGTACTGCCATACAGACGAAAAGTTATACAAAATACAGATTAAGGAACAGCGCACACACAAATACAGTTTTAACTTTCACAAGGTTACTTAAAATCACCTGTCATAGCAAACAAATATGGGGATTCAATTACATGAAAACAGCCATATCGCAGGGCATGACAAATCCTATGCCCCAGGCCGACCAGGAATTTAGTCCTGGCACCTGGTATTGGTGAGCCTGTCCCTCAGAAGCGAGTGGGTAGCTGCACGTGTTGTAGGCAGATAGCGAGGAAAATGATCACTCCGGCACCAGCATCATTAAACGTCACAGGTATGGAAGTCACAGCTCCCTCCCAGCCCGCAATACTGCAGGTGGCTGTCCGCCCACTGGACCCCAAGTAAAACCGATCCACTCGAGCACTCCCAGGTAGGGAGGCTGGGTGGAATGGAATTGCATTAAAACAAATATATATATGTGTGTGTATCTGTGTGTTCATCTATGTGCCAGTGCGTGCGATTGAGTGCCCGTCTGTTGGTGTGTGGGCGAGTATCTGTGTGTACGCGCACCTGCCTACGTGTGTGTTTAGGTGACCAGCGCCGATCACCTGGGAATGGTATTTATACTCACCACTCCCTGGCCCCGCCTCGATGGCTGAGAATCACGACTGATGATCACTGCTAATCCAATGCTTTCCCATAGGAAGCTATTGCACATACGCTGTAAAACACTGCCCCAGTCAGCATCTCCTCATAGAGATGCATTGAATCAATGCATATCTATGGGGAATGTTCAGCACCTCCATGCAGAGATCAGTGTGTACATTGAAAAGCCGATAGGGACACCAGAACCACTACATTAAGCTGCAGAAGTCCTGGTGATTCTCTTTAAGAATTGTATTTTTGTCATTGAAAATAAAGCTTTGTAAGTTTAAAAAAAAACCTAGCTCCTAAATTAAAAAAAAAAAAAAAAAAAATTATTACTTGGCTCCTAGATTCAAAGCAAATTTGTTAGGCCCTGCCATGTAGTGTGATGTAGTGGTGGGCTTAACACGATATGGGCACATGTTGGAACTAAAGCTCCATATTTGTTTGCTGAGATAAGTGATTTTAAGTAGCTTTGTAAAATGTATAACTATTTTTGTGTATGTGCTATTCCTTAATCCAAAACTCGACAAATCCCAGGGATTTGTTGGCCCATTCAGCCCCTAAAGTGGTCGGCCACCAATGAGTGAAGGCTGGCAGCCGACAGGCCCATAAAGAGCATGGGATCGGTCGGCCGGCTGGCTAAAAGGAAAGCATTTGCGGTCGGTCGGTTAGCCAGCCAGCCAATGCTGGCTCCTAGATTCAAAGCAAATTTGTCAAGCCCTGCCTTAGTCTGTGTGGTTTATATGTGTAAATAAGGGCAGAAATGTAAACGAAGTGAAGTCCAACAAAAGCATTCTCACAATATATGTGCATACACACATTTATAGAAACTCAATTAATGAGGAAGTGTTGATAAACAAGAGTATTTGCTAATGGACTGCAAGGCAGTTCCTCTTTGTTCTGTAGGGAAAAAAATTACTCAATGCTTTTCTCAAGCTACTGCTGTTTTAATGTGTACATTAAAATAATTGGTGGTAGGCTGCAAAATCAGTAGATGCTCTCACAACTGCCCACCAGTGCCCAATGCAAACTTTCCACATAATTGCAGTGCCCTGCATGTAGTGCAGTGGAGGCACTGTGAATGGGCACAAGGAAGACAACTTGAGAGTTAAACTACTTGAAAAATTCATTGAAATTAAATTATGGAGACTAGAGTCCTGCCACCAGAGTGTTCCTTTTATTGCTCACCATAGCAGCAAAGGATAGGGCAAAAAAATTGTTTTTTTTGTTTTAAGTTAACAGGCCACAACCATAAAAGCTGGGCGCAGTCTATGCCAGGATCTATCTGTTCTTCACAGCAAATGCAGATTTTTACCTACATCCTTTTTTTGAATATGCATGCAAATAAAGAAGCAAGGAGTTGAACACTGGGTTGAAAAGGAAGAAGGAGGATAGAGTTTTTTCGGTAAAGACTTTTACCTTCTTCTAATGCAATATATATTACCTGGAGGGGGAGGGGAATCTTTGCAAGTATTCCAATTTTGTTTCTCATGGTTGCACAAAATTTAAAGTGACACTACAGTCATTCAGACCATTCACATCAGTGAAGTGGTCTGAGTGCAATGGTCGTGTCCTTTGAACCTTGTAATGTAAAACATTGTAGTATTTTTGGAAAAAGTGTAACAAAACAGTAAAGGCAAGTGACTTTATGACTTGACAAAGGCCAGTGTAGGCCAAACCATCACCGCTTGCTTGCGGTTTCCATTAAGAGTCTGCACTTTGAAAGGAGTCATTGAGTGCTTGGATCTTCTGTTACTTTATGATGCCAATATTAAGGCACATTGTTTAAACAACTTCCCTAATCAAAGGACAATTCAAAAGCACAACAAGCAAACCGCACTTCAGCGGATTCAAGTCCAGGTGGTTTTCATGAAAAGTGATGGTTTATTATAACAAAAACAATGAACACATGAAAGAAGAAGTACTTAAAAAAAAAAAAAAAAGCCTCCCAGTGAAAGAAAAGAGGAAAAAACAAACAAAAAAAAAATTCTAAGATACAGTGTTCCTGTCTCTTTAACACTTCAACTGAAAACATTGGCACTTCGCAGCAACAGATATGTTTTCATTGCAGGGTAGCATGCCTCTTCTGGTCGTCTTCCTGACAGACACAAAAGAGTTAAACTCTGTTACAGATTAAATTACATTTATAGAATTCATTGGATCGGTGCAGCACAATGATTGGCGTGCATGATCTCTGCCAGAGGAAGGGGGAGGGGCAATACAGCAGCATGGAGAACAGGGTGACACCGCGTGCAAGGCAAATTAAACCTTTGCCCCTTGGGGGCGGAGGGTACCTATGCAGGTTGGGGAACACTAGCGCTAAAAATACAGGTTTGTATTCCAAACACTATAGTGTTGCTTTAAGATACATTATAGTTCAAGTGTTATTTGGGAGGAAAGATCTATTAGCTATTTAGCACGTGGCTGCAAATTGATGCAATATTTGCATTTTTGGTAAATTCCCATTAATCCGAGTTCCCAGTGATTTAACTTTGATTCACTCTGTCCCTGAGCAAACGTCACCCTTGTGTACGACATGTCAAACTTGATAGAACCGAGCGTAACTTGCGTGTGAGTGTGCAAGCACCATCTAGCAACTAGAGGTATGCTTAGCCCCACAATGAAAATTTTGCCCTATCTCCAAAACAGGAAGTTTTCATTGCATTAAGATGAATTGCAAGGCAGGAACATCCTTTACGGACAATGAGCCATAAAGAAACTTTCTGTTTCAAAGAAACTATAATCGGACTTAGAAAAGTAAAGTTGTGTACTAGGTATAATTACAAAATTTTTACTAATTCCATGATGTAGTCATGATTTTATTAAGGACACAGAGGCGCGTATTACGCTTTATCTCTTTCTTTAATCCTCAGCAGCAAAGAAAGTATATTGTAAATATTTACAAAGAAAAAAAATTACAACATTTACCCTAGAGGGTTAAAGGACCACTACAGTGCCAGGAAAACACTTGTTTTCCTGGCACTATAGTGCCCTGAGGGTCCCACTCCCGCCGGGCTCTAGGCGGTGGAAGGGGTTAAATTTACCTCTTTTTCCAGGGCCGGGAAAATCACAGTGAGAAGCGCCTCTAGCGGCTATCAATGAGACAGCCACTAGAGGCTGGATTAACCCTATTATAAACATAGCAGTTTCTCTGAAACTGCAATGTTTATAGAAGAAAGGGTTAATCCTAGCTGGACCTGGCACCCAGACCACTTCATTAAGCTGAAGTGGTCTGCGTGCCTATAGTGGTCCTTTAACCATAATACAACATATTAACCAATAGGAATGCTTCCTGCACTATAATGTCCCATGTGACCTTATGCCACTCCTCTTTCGTACTGGTGCAGACAAACATTCCAACAAGACCAAAGTATACGACCAACCAGATGTTAAGAACAGCGACTTTGGGATAATCCAACAATGGAACTTGGAATTAAACTTGCACACATCCATTTGAGTGTGAGGGACCGATGTGAAAAAACAATTAGGAGGCTGTAAAGACAAAAAAAATAAGTGGTAAAATATGTTCTTGGATATTAAATCTTATCTGCAGTAGATCTAGTAACAGAGCAGTATATCCAAGTCTTCAACATTAATATCAACAGAAATCGTTCAAATAAGTGAATACCCACATTATTATGACATACCTGTTATTATTATTATTGCCATTTATATAGCGCCAACAGATTCCATAGCGCTTTACAATATTTTGAGAGGCGGGATGTAACAATAAATAGGACAATGACAAGAAAACTTACAGGACAATAGGTTAAAGAGGACCCTGCTCAAACGAGCTTACAGTCTATAGGAGGTGGGGTATAAGACACATTAGGAAAATAAATATCAAGTAGGAGTGAAGCAGAGCTGGAGGAGAGAGCAAAGCACTGTCCCATAGGAGAGAGCAGGAGACGGGTATGTAAGATAGAGATTACTCTGGGAGGCCATAAGCTTTCCTGAAGAGATGTGTTTTAAGGCCCTTCTTAAATGATTGAAGACTAGGGGAGAGTCTGATGGCAGTAGGCAAGCTATTCCATAGGAGAGGAGCCGCCCGCGAGAGGTCCTGCAAGAGCGAGTTGGCTTTACGGGTGCGAGCAGCTGTCAGGAGGTGGTCACGGGCAGAGCGGAGGGTACGAGGAGGGGCATATCTATGGATTAGTGAAGAGATATGAGGGGCTAGAATTGTTCAGTGCTTTAAATGTATGGGTTAGCACTTTGAATTGACTCCTATAGGATACAGGGAGCTAATGTAAGGACTGGCAGAGGGGTGAGAGGACCGACTACAGAGGAAAATCAGTCTAGCTGCAGCATTCATTACAGACTGTAGCGGGGCAATACAGCTTTTGGGGAGACCAATCAGGAGAGGGTTACAGTAATCCATGCGGGAAATTACTAGAGCATGGACAAGCTCCTTGGTAGTGTTGAGTGGGATGCTACTCGCCTCCGTATCCTTAATAAAATCATGACTTTACGTCATGTAATTTGTAAAATCTGGTAATTTTAATAAAGGACACAGAGGCTCACATTAGGCTAGTTCAAAGCTGTGCCGAAAGGTAGACTCCCGGGACCAATCAGCGTCATGGCGGAGGTAATCCTGTCTCCATTCTAAGGAGAAGGCTTTAGATGCCCTAGCGCCTCTAACAGAGTGTGCTCTGTATCGATGTCCGTTAATGTCAATCCAGTCAACAGGTGCCCGTAGAAACAGGCTGATGTGGACGTCGGAGTGCTAATAACAGATCCGGATATATAGGATCACTTATTGAAGCGTCCTCTCTTCATATTCCTTGAGGCAGGCCAATTTTCAATAAGTCGGAGAACCAGATTCACATCCCATAAGTATGAGTACTTAGGACGTGGTGGGCGTGCAAATCTGATGCCACGAAGGAGTCAACATACTAAGGTATGTTTACCTGAAGGGAATCCGTTCCAACTGTGGTGACCCGCTGAAATGGACGATCTATATACATTTATCGTTCCATATGCTAGGCCGTGCTCAAAAAGTGAAGTGAGGAAAGCCAAGACATGACTCACAGGTGCAGATAAGTGATCCACGTGCTGTTCCACGCACCAACCATCCAATGAGTTCCAGGCATGCGATTTCCTTGTTCCCGGAGCCCAAACTCCCGGCAAGAGGTCCAGAGGTGTTCTTGGAACATTTGGGATGAAACAATCTTGGTTGATACACCCACAGGGCTCTATAGGGCAAACAAGCTTGCTAATAACTAGAGGCAATTAATATGCATTCTTTTTTCTTCAATGGATCATTTCCCCCCCGGTGGATGTAAGACTGCAGCGCGCGCCCCAGCTGAGCGTACTTGCATCCGATTCTATGACGAAGTCCAGAGTTGTTCCAAAGATTGCCCATCCGTTCCATGCCTCCATGTGTTGTAACCACCATCAGAGTTCCTCCTTGGTTGTGCAGTCGAGAGTAACACAGTCTGAGTACGAGTACGAGTGACCCAAGCGAAGGAGTTTGTTTTTTAACTGTTGAAGTGCCCTATAGTGTAGCGGGCCGCGGATTATGGCTTGATAGACGCTAAGAGAAGGCCGATGATTCTGGACAGTTGTCTCAATGTTAGGATAGGTCTAGCTAACATGTGACATATTTCTTTCTTTATGGCCTTGACCTTGGAGGGTGGCAGTAGAAGCACCCCACATACGGAATCTATGGTGAATCCCAGAAATTTGATTGATTGAGAAGGTTTGAGAACTGACTTCTCCCAACTTATCAAGCAACCTAGATTGCTCAGGAGAGTCATCGTCCAAGACAGGTGTTCGCGAAGCCAGTGAGGGCTCTGGGCTATTAAGAGGATGTTGTCCAAATATATTATGTGGCGAACTCCCCTGCTGCGTAGGAGAGAGACCACTGGTTTCAGCAGTTTTGTGAAACAACGCAGGGCAGAAGAGAGGCATTTGAATTGCCACATGGTCTTCTCCCACCGGAAGAATGGTTGGCAATCTTTGGCCATCGGGACGGTGAGGTATGTGTCTTGCAAGTTGAGTTTTACCATTCAATCCCATGCTCAGACGAGGTCTCAGAGAATGAATACCTTCCATCATGGTGGTATTCTACAAACTCGTTTAGGGGTCGTAGATTGATTACTGGTCAGACGTCCCCCACCTTTTTTGGTGACTAGGAAGAGGTTGCTTAGGAAACCTGGAGTTTTTGGGGGTGAGTTTCCGAGATTGCACTTTTGGATGCTAAGGCCTCTATTTCCTGTGACACCAGGAACCGGTCGTGAGTGTGGAGAATACAATGCCGTTGGGTAGACACCTCTGAACAGGGTAATGAACGAAATCTATTCAATAACTCAAGACAGTTTGGAGGACCCAAGCATCTGCAGTTAGTCTGTGCAAAGCATTGATAAAATGACTTACTCTGCCCCTCCCACGGAAAGAGAATAAAATTGGTGTGAAATTGTACTTACCATAAGGCAGTCAGCCTTAGGAAGAACCTCTGGGTCTACGAGATTGCCAAGGTCTGCTCGAACCTGGAAAAACTTTGAGATGGATTTGGACTCCGGTGCCTGAAACCTGGAGTGCATGGAGCCATGAGAACCTCGGTATGAACAGCTGGGCAGATGGCCCCCATATCTGCCAGCCCCGCCAAAAACTCTCTGGGAGAACACTCGTTTCATGTTGGCTTGCACCTTATCTAATGCCGTGAACGTCCCTACATAGGAACCCAGCTCCTTCACAAAGCGGTCTCCAAACAGGAGGACTTTTGCCTGTGGCCCTGATATAGCTAGATTCACTAGCTTAGGCTCAATTTTAATAAGTATAGCCTTCTGCCTATCTGTGGCTAAAACCGTAATTTCGTTGACAATTAGGCAGACAGACCGTTGGATCCACCCTGATGGCTAAAAAGTCTGCAGGGGTCCCCCTTCCCTTCCCCGGTCCCATCCTGTTCATTCCTTCCCCGGTCCCATCCTGTTCATTCCTTCCTCCCCTCCCTTCCCCGGTCCCATCCTGTTCATTCCTTCCCCCTCCCTTCCCCGGCCCCATCCTGTTCTTTCCTTCCCCCTCCCTTCCCCGGTCCCATCCTGTTATTTCCTTCCCCCTCCCTTCCCCGGTCCCATCCTGTTCTTTCCTTCCCCTCCCGGTCCCATCCTGTTCTTCCCCCCACCCTTCCCGGTCCCATCCTGTTCTTTCCTTCTGCCCTCCCTCTCCAAAAGTGCAACTTCGCCCGTCTTGTTTCCCACGGTACAGGAGATTCAGTCTCCTGTACCCAGCCGGACTTGCAAGAAGTGCTCTCTCAGTGAGCTCTTCCTTTTAGTCCGGCCAGGTACAGGAACCACCACCTCCTGCCGATCACTCCAATCTAGCGCCCCAAGGCGGCTGCTGTGCCGCCTTATGGACGCGCCGGCCCACCTCATTAATCGGTAGTTATCGACCGACACCAATTCGTTTAAAAAAAAAAAAAAAAAAATAATAATAATAAATTTGGAATATCGTCAAAACCAATAATCGGTCGATCCCTAGAAAGAGGTAAGTGAAAAAGGTGTTGTTAACCTTTTAAATCACCAGGTGGGTATAGGGGAGCTGGACCTATAGCATTAGGAATACAGTTTGCTAGTCTGTAAGAATCAATAATAAATTGATGCTTGGGGTATCCCTTCAATAACTATCAGAGCCAGAAAGGAGAGCACAGTAAAGAGCAGCGAGAAGACAGTGCGCCCCTTCAAGGCGAACCCCTCAGCCAAGCACCTGGACCGGCTACATTAGGCCCGTTTGGGATAAAGATCACAATGGATATACTACCCTGCATCTGCTACGGCGGCTGAAGAGCCACCGCAGCTGGCGGCAACAAAACAGCAGGTGCTCCAGCAGTCCCTTAACAGGGAGTGACTTGGCCTCGAGTCAGAGATCTCGAGCCAGTAGCCCCATGATGCTGTCTTCACCGGCGGAAGGGGTAGTAACCTGTTAGTAACCTGGATATGCAGAAGGAGGGGGATGTGCTTAGCGAAAATGAGGAGATTAAAGGACCACTATAGTGCCAGGAAAACATACTCGTTTTCCTGGCACTATAGTGCCCTGAGGGTGCCCCCACCCTCAGGGTCCCACTCCCGTGGCGCTGAAGGGGGAGGAAGGGGTTAATCACTTACCTTTTTTCCCAGCGCCGGGACTCTCCTCCCTCTTCTTCCGTCATCGGCTGAATGCGCATGCACGGCAAGAGCTTTCCTATGGACGCTGGCGTCAAATCACAGTGAGAAGCTCCTCTACCGGCTATCAATGAGACAGCCACCAGAGGCTGGATTAACCCATAAGTAAACATAGTTTCTCTGAAAGTGCTATGTTTACAGCAAAAAGGGTTAAACCTAGCTGGACCAGGCACCCAGACCACTTCATTAAGTTGAAGTGGTCTGGGTGCCTATAGTGGTCCATTAGTATACCTTGGATCTGGTTGTGCAAAGTAATCAAACAGTTTACACCCAAAGTCTGTTTTCCAGCTCCAGATCTACTCGACGCTCTGTTATTCCGTTTGCTCAAATTCTGGAAACAGGAACGTTTGGGCAGCGGTACGCCACTGATTTATTGAGAGCGGTCACGTGATGCTTTCAGCCAATGACACGCCATTCAGAAAACTGTTGTGAAAAGGAACTTGCCCTTTTAAGGCCATTTTTATGAGGGAGAAGTTGCATTAGCAATGCAACTTCCCGAGCCTTCCTGTATCCAGAATTTGAGCAAACAGAAGAACAGAGGGACAAGTAGATCCAGCGCTGGAACACAGACTTTGGTGTTAAACCATATGAGAACAGTTTAAACCCTAAACAGGTAAGCAGGCACCAGGAGCCTCCTGGCACCGTAACTATATATCCATATTCCTCCCCCCCCACCCCCCCATTTTGTTAATGCTTTTAATATTTTTTTATTTTAGTAACATTTAAACAGATAATTCCTATAAAAGCACCAATTTAATGACAGGCTGTGAGTACTGGGAAGGACTATGAAGTAGTTCAAATCGGTCTGGAAAGAACTGAGATTCAAGTACCAGAACAGACCAGTTTTTTGACATTTAAAAAATAGTTACCAAAAACTGGGGTGTAAGCACAAAAAGTCTCCTTGCAAAATAACCACTACGATAAACCGTAGATGCTAACTTAAAACATCCCTTTAAACTTATTGCACATTAAAAATTAAAAAAAACTACATTTAAATCAAGAACTGTGTGGTCCATTAAAAAATCCTCACTAATATGATATACCGTATATGGAATTAGAGAAGGAGACTGTACAGTAATGAGGATGCCAGGGTAGGTCAGTGGCTATGAATGAAGGCCAATATTATTGAAATTAGGTCACAGTGAATCTGGGAGGATATCTGGGGGCAGGGTGCTTTGTGGATATGTATAGAATTAGCTTACGTTTGCCAGAGGCTGCACTGATCGAAATGCAAGGCCCCAATGCTTTTTAAAGAATATTGAGCAAGTGTATTTTTGTGAGAGAACTGGGCATGCTGCTAGTTTAAAAAACATATGACAATTAAAATGTAAGTAAATGCTATTTACAGACGTGTGCACAATTAAAAAATATTCAACTAAAACAAAAATAAATAAATAAAATGCGTAAAGGGACACTCCAGAACCCTGTAAAGCACTTTAGCTTTCTGAAAATCTCAAAAGGGAAGTTTAGGTACCTTTAGCCACCATAACAACTTGATCTAAATTAAGTTATGGTGCCAGGAGGCCCACTGGCGCATTCTTACCTTAAACCGACCGAGAAGGGGTTAAACCGTTCTCAAAAAGTTGCATCCAAAACCGATCTCAATTCCCTCAGAAGGCATTGGGCTCTGAAATTTCAGTGTTAGGAAGTGTGGAGTGCCGCCGCTGATTTACCAAGCGCGGTCAGCTGATGCTCTCAGCCAGTAACTCCCCATTCACAAAACTGGCTTGAAAAAAAGTTACATTTCTTTTCAAGACAGTTTTGTGAATTGGGAGTCACTGCTTGGCTGAGCGCATCAGCTGACTGCACTCCTGCCCGGCAGCACTCCGCACACCTTGAAACTGAAATTTAAAAAAATTTGCCATTTGGGGGGAGTTGAGAATGACGCTCGAGGCAACTTTGGAGTTAAACAGTCTGAGAACGGTTTAGTTCATTGAGGTAAGTGTGTTTCGATGAGGTCATAGTGCATAAAAAAAAGATCTTGAAGTCCCTTGACGTGCCGATCCTATTTATTTACTTTTTAAATTGATGCGTGTATGTTGCTGTACACTGCTTGTGTTATTTAAGGATGCTTCAGTTCATTTGTAGCATTGTATTTGGGCTGTTATATTGTACATGACCATGAGTAGTCTGTGGCATTGTGTATGATACATATGAATGTTGGCTGTGTATGGCTGCTTCTTGTGGAATTGTGTGTGTGTGTGTGTGTGTGTGTGTGTGTGTGTGTGTGTGTGTGTGTATGTATGTATGTATGTATGTGTCGGCTTGTGATATTGCAAATGGGTTTGTGTGTGTGTGGATTGTCAGTGGGCTGTTTGTATTATTTGTACGAGTGGGAGGCTTATTCTCCAGCTCTGTGTAGATCTAGCAGTGTGGGTGGCTTCTCTGGTGTCCAGTGGGGACCGGACTGGCCAGGTATAGGTCAAGGGAAGGATCTGTGATAACTGCTGTGGGTTGTTCTACTCCAGTGGGGAATTCACATTTACAAGTGCGGTATGTATAAATTGAGGATTGTGCCTCACTGCTCGGTGTGCACTACCAAATATCTGAAGTTCTACTTGGACTCCTTATAAGCCAGAGCCTGTTTGGCTCTAGCAGCCTGGAGTGCCATGCAAAGGCAGCTCAAGTGCCATAGGTTGCTGGTCCCTGTTACAGTGCCTTGATTGTTCATTTAATTTATGAAGAGCGTGCCCAAAACCCTATTAACCCTAGCTTTCAAGCAGACCAACAGGTCCTGTTACCTCCTGGTTTGTGTAGCTCATTAGAGCTTAACTCGAGGCAGCAATTGCTTAGAGCAGTGATGGCAAACCTTTGGCACGCTGAGCCCTCTCTGTGGACACGCAGCCATAAGTCGCCGGGGGAGGCAGCAATGCAGAGTTGGCACCAGCCTGTCCAAAACGGCAGGTGCCTACTCTGCTTCAGTGTCGGGAGGACGGATCTGGGTAGCAACTCTCCTTTCCTCCCGTGAGCAGGCTGTGTGGAGCGTTGCTGTACATTCCTATGGAAACGCTCCACACAGAATTGAGCAGGAGGACAGGAGAGCTGCAGCCAGGCACACACTTCCCACCACCGAACACCAGGGCTGGCTGTGTCCCCCTTGTTCACCAAAGGTAAGAAGAAGGGAAGGGGGATAAAGATTTGACTTTTTTTTATTTATTTTTTTTTTTATGTATCTTTATCAACTTTACCCCCACCACCAAACAACCACCCAAACACACACACACCCCCCACCTGAATTGCATTTGTTGGAGATACTAATAAATTTAAGCTTAATTTTATCTATTTATATCATTATTTAAAATTTGTATCATTGAACTCTGTTGTTGTGTTCTTTTAAAACAAAAAGATTTTAATTAGTTCGGACAACTGTACGAGTTGTTTTTTCTAAACTTCAACCTTAGTATTCAGGTTTAATTGCCGTATTGGCACTTTGAGGAAAATAAAGTTGGCATTTATTACAGTTTGGGCACTCGGGCTCAAAAAGGTTTGCAATCACTGGCTTAGAGCATCTGTCTTGCAAAGACGTTTCAATGAGCTGCATTGGGAAGTCTGTGATTGGACAGTCACAGAACATCTGGTTGGGGTTAAGAGGAGAGGGTGTGCAAAGGCAGCAGACAAGAGATATGCAGGTTTTTGCAAGGTGTTTTAATATAGCCCGAATGATAAAATGTAGAATTAAATGCACGCATGCTTTTATTTCAGGTGTATCTACTGAAGAGTGATTGTATTTATTTTGTAAATAGCAAGTCTAGTGTGACTTTAATATGGACAAAGCCATTACAAATTAATATGAGACTTGGAGAGCATATGATACAAATATAAACTAGCTTGAATTTTATTCACAAGATGAAGAAGAAAAAAAAAAAAAAAAAAAACCTATATCAGACTGCTGCAGCACCCAAGATATTTTCTTTTTAAGGAGTATAGAAAATGACATTGTGCAGGTTCTCTTTTACGGAACTGAAGAAAACTAGCAATTAATGACATAAATGATTGTGACTCATCTAGCCTTCAACAGAGACCAAGGAGTCAATCATGCTACACCATTCACATTTCCATGATTTACTGTATTAGAGAAAGCAAACTCAAAAAAAAAAATATATATATATTTAAAAAAATATTATGGTAGGTAGAAAGATGTATGATGTGAAGCAGCAATAGATCAAGCACACCAAACTTGAGTGGAGATATAGATAGATAGATAAAAAAAATTTTTATTCATGTCTTAGAAATTATTTACAACTATTCTACAAAACAAAGGAATTTCAAAATTAAATGTATTGTGCATATGTGAATCGCCAGTATTGCAGCAACCATTTGGATTGTAAACGCTGTGGCAAAAGAGATGCATTTTGGAAGATAAATATGATACAATTATTCCCATTGTTAAAACAGATCAATTTCTTTTAAACAAGAAATGCACACCAACATGAATGACATATGCACAGAGAAATAAGCCATTTAATTATGCAATATGTATCAATAACACATTGATGTTGAAATAGAAATCCAAATACAATTTTCCTGTCATAATATAACAGAACATAGTATTGCAAATGAAATAATATAAGACGATAAAATCTTAGCATATTACACAACCAACACGAATCACAGGATGTTAAAACTCCATTGAGATTGATCATTTCTTAGTGATTTGATAGAACCCACATAAATACGGTAGAAAAAAAAATTTGAAAAAAATACACATACAAAAAAAAAAAAATCAAAAGGCATAGCACATTTATCTTTCATCAAACCAATCTATCTGTAGCAGATTCAAGATGTGAACAGTTTTCCTTTGTTTGTGGGTCAGGAATCTGGAAGACTGGAGGGAGCATCTGCAGTGGCATACATACACAAACACTCCCAGCTAGAAAGACAGCACTGTGGAAGAGCGCAAAGACATGTTCCTAGAAAGCTAAAAGTCGGTTGATAAAATAGACATTCGCTTGCTCTGTTATTCATGAAAATAAGGAAACATTCAGATTTCACAACTAACCAAGTTACAATCAACGCAATTAAGCATTTTAATGAATATCCAACAAGCACCAATGCACACACCAACTGATAGCCAATATATTTGTACACTACCAATACAATTTTCTAAAAATGGTACACAGATACGCTGTTCCCCAAAGCTTCAAAAAAAAAAACAACATATTTCTTAATGGCTAATGTGCCAGACAATCCCAATAAAATATTAATGATAATGGAAGCACGCCATTATTAAAAGGACTATAAAAGCAGGTCAATTGCTACTAAAACAAATACATTTGAACAAAGGTTAACCATTTGAGTGCCAGGGGTGTTAACACATGCACGCACATGTGCAAAGCATACTCTTTCAGCATAAAAAGAATTTATAAACGTTTAATGTTTTGAAAGATTTTTCTAACCAACTTTTGAAAACCTTCCAAATGCAAGGCTGCACTTTTTTCATGGGAAGTAACATTAGGGGATTTAGCATAACAGAGATGGCAAGGATAAAGTTCATGTTTGTGAACGGAAAGTTGATATGGCAATCGCTGCCAAATACCTCCCATGGCAAATGTACTAAAAAAATTCAGGCACTAAAATACTGGTAAAGGGAAATGCTGCACATTTGTATTTTGACATAAAAATAACGTGACAGATGGGCAATGTGAAGCACAGATGAAATATTTTAAATATTTTTGCCTGGCAAGATTTATGCTGCATGTACGGGTCTATATCTCAGGAGCATCAAATTTGGGCAGCATCACAGCAACTCCCTGCGATGCAACTGTTTTTACGCTTCACAGCCTAAATGAAGCCATAATGAATAGCTGCTATATTTGTATATTATTCACGGCATTTTAGGTCATGTGACAAGGAAAGATTCACATGGAGCCTAATTGACAATTTACATCAACTTCAGAGCTTTGTTTGTTTGGAGTATGGTAAAAGGGCACATTTTGAATCTGATATATACTCAAGATAGAAATATTCAATATTACACATAACATTATCAAATCATGTATAGTGGATCTTTGTAACTACAAATGATATTCCTTGAGTTTGATAGATTAAAATGCTTGACCAAAATACAAATAAGCTTTCAAACGCACAGAGAATTCCAATGTGCCATGTATCACCATTTTTCAGGGATGGGCAGTAATTGTAAAGGACCAAACTCCAGTATACATATCAATTGAATTTACTGAAATAACCACTTCTCAGCAACTCGCCAAGTGGTTCCCACAACAAATCCCCTTTATAATGGCTTAAAGCCAGATAACTATTAAACAGCGAGCTCTATATAAACTTGGCTTCCAAAGCAGACAAACTTCCGAACACTTTTTACTGAATGCCTCTGTGTAAGAGAAACAATATTTTTCTTCATCTGCAAAAAATAAATAAAAATAAATATCTGTCATTTAAACAGATGTGACCTACATTTCCCATGCATACCATCCAGCATTAAAGAAATATAGAAGAGCTAACTTGCCCCTCAACATATAGGGCAACTGAGCCTTAATAGTAGATACCCAGATACAACTCCCATAATTAGTTGTGGGATAGCTGGTCTTTTATTTACATCTGTTTCCTAGCATTCCTGTGCGGGTGTTCTAATAAAGAACAATCAGCATACTCTAAATAAGAAGTCACTGATTCCCACTCCAAAGCTCCCCAGGGCACAGTAAAGCTCCTAGAAGACAGCAGTGAGCTCATGTTGCTGTCTGGTTCCCTAGAGCAGCCTTGCAGTCACAGTAAATCAGTAACACTCTGGCTGGGGGACACCCTGCTCCCTCCTCCACGGCCATGTTTCCTGCCCAGGACACCACATAGCACTCACCGCTAGTCTCCTGGAGCAGCGTGGCCAGCAGGAGCAGGCAGAGCCCGCACAGCCCCGGGGAGGCAGCCATGACCCGGGCAGGAGCGGGACTCATCACATCACAGCCTCAACTCGCAATACTTCTCTGGCAGCCACTGTGCTCGCTCCGCCAGCCTGCCTGCCTGCCTCTCCAAACCTTCACCGCCTCTCGCGACGTTTCCACTAGGACACGCCCCACTCTCCCGATTGGACGGCCTGGGGTAAACATAGCCCCGCCCACGCTAGTTGTGACTGTATTCATTCTCCCGCCCTCGCATTCTGTATTGTTACACACTGCGCTACGGAGAACTGTTTTCGAAGCAGTCTGAGAGCCAGTGACGTCAACACTCTGGGCCGCTTCCAAGTCACCGAGTGCTACGCGCCAGAGGTCTAATACACCAGAGTTCTACACAGCAGAGTCGCAGCACAGATTTAATATTATGTCTTCTTTAGCGGAGCCTTAGCTGCTCTAATGTCCTTCCAGTGAGAGTGGGCATAACACAATTAGATTTCGATAGTGCCATGTTAGAGACATAGTTTAAAGCAAAGTGTGAACTGTGTGTGCAGTGTGTTAAAGGACCACTCTAGGCACCCAGACCACTTCAGCTTAATGAAGTGGTCTGGGTGCCAGGTCCTTCTAGGGTTAACCCATTTTTTCATAAACATAGCAGTTTCAGAGAAACTGCTATGTTTATCAATGGGTTAAGCCTTCCCCCTATTCCCTCTAGTGGCTGTCTCATTGACAACCGCTAGAGGCGCTTGCATGCTTCTCACTGTGATTTTCACAGTGAGAGCACGCCAGCGTCCATAGGAAAGCATTGAGAATGCTTTCCTATGTTACCGGCTGAATGCGTGCGCGCAGCTCTTGCCGCGCGTGCGCATTCAGCCGACGGGGCGGAACTGAGGAGGAGAGGAGGCAGTGAGCTCCCCACCCAGCGCTGGAAAAAGGTAAGTTTTAACCCCTTTCCCCCTTCCAGAGCTGGGCGGGAGGGGGTCCCTGAGGGTGGGGGCACCCTCAGGGCACTATAGTGCCAGGAAAACGAGTATGTTTTCCTGGCACTATAGTGGTCCTTTAAGTTTCTGTAGCGACTTGTGTAATGTTTATTTCAGGGTTGATGGTTGGTTCCTCTGATTGTGTGCATATGTGTCAGGTACATGAATATGAATGTTCCAATCGCTTTAAAAAAAATTATGCTCTTTCCCTTTAAGGTCACAGGGCCACTGACAATAAACAGTCTATTTAAAGCAGCACTGTCATGGCCGCATCTGTTTTTATTTTTAACCCCCCTCCCGACTCCACAACATCTAATTGCCCTAATCCCCCTTATTACCTATTTTTTAATCTTTAATTTGTGCCTGGACCAAAGTCCTGGGCGCCGCCATCTTTGTGTGGGCAGATGAAGATACCGGAAACGCTATGCTACGCTAAATAACGCTATGAAATTCCCATTCATGCAGAGTTAAACACTTGGGCATTGGCTATTGTCCGAAATTCGGACAGGAATTTCGTCCATTCATTCGTCAGAAAGACAAATGACTAAATAGAAATGTCAGATGAACAAACAAACACCGAATATCGGTGAATATCGGTGTTCATTTGTTCGTTTATTACAAGGAGGGAGCTACCGGCTCACAGCTCACTCCTTGTAATATGTAAATATAGAAGTGGCAGGGAGCAGTGCTGCTGCCACTTCCTAAGCCCCTCCCATGTCCTCCCTCACTCTATGGGGGTCAATGTGACCGCCATATTAACATAAGGGAGATTGAGATCTCTTGAATGCCCCTACTCTATGCCGCGAGCAGGGGCATGTCTACTAGACAGTGAGCAGCCTGTTGTAAAAAAAAAAATTAAAAGTCCCCCCCCCCAAATAAATGGCCCCATGGTGGGGCATCTATTAACTAGCGGAGGAGGGGGCAATTCAACTAAATAAAGGCACGTAGGGTCCCCCTTAGCCCCCACCCATGAGTGGCAGGTGGGTACCCTAAAAGTCAATGGGTGGGGGTCTATTGTCTTCTCCCTACGGCCTCCACCCATGAGTAGCGGGTGAGGGCCCTAAATGAGAATAAGGGGGGACCTATTTCCCCCCCAGCCCCTACCCATGAGCAGCGGGTGGGGGCCCTAACCGGCAGTGGGGGGGGGAACCTAATGTCCCCCCGACCTCCACCGATGAGGGGCGGGTGGGTGCCCTAATAGACAATGGGGGGGACCTATTGTCCCCTCTCTGGGCCCCCACCCATGGACGCTAAAAAAAATAATCCATCTTCACCCAGGGAGGGCACCACGCAGACTGAGCTCCGCAGGTCGGGGGAAGGCTTAAAAAGCCTTCCCACGCCTGCAATTTGATTCAGAGTGCTCTGATTGGTTGGTTTAAGCCAACCAATAAGAGTGCTCTGATAGGTAAATAGTGAGCCATACCTGATTGGTTACCTGTAAGGCTCACTATTACCATTAGCGGCAGGTTCAGGGCCTAAGTGTAATAGGGGGGAGGACCAATTGTCCCCCCCCTGCCCCACGAGCGGCAGGTGGGGACCCTAAGTGCTAAGAGGGGGGGGATCTACTGGTCTTTCAGCCAAGGGGAGGGAGGACATATTGTGTCCCCCCCCCCCTTGGCTCCCACCTATGAGTGTTAGGTGGAGGCCCTAAGTGACAATGGGGAGGGGACCTAATGTTCCCCCCTGGCCCCAACCCATGAGCAGCGGGAGGGGGCCCTAAGTAATAATGGGGGGGGATTTATTGTCCCACCCCCCACCCATGAATGGTGGGTGGGGACCCTAAGTGATAGAGGAGGTGGATCTATTGTCCTCCCTGACTCCCACACATGAGCGGAGGGTGGGGCCCTAAATGACAATGGGGGGAGTGTCAGGATTACAAGTTGATCCAGCACACAGTACTGTGTCACACCTAGGACTAAGGATAACGTATAACCAGACCTTATGATGGCTGGACATAACGTATCCAAGAATAGTCAAAATACTAGCCGAGGTCAGAGATACAGAATCAGACACAAAGATGAGGGAAAGCCAAAAGTCAAGGATACCAGATATCAGGGAAGTCAAAACAAAGCCAAAGTCAAATACCAGAAAATTAAGATCAGGAACGCACTCTCGGATAACCATATGCATGAAACCACAACACTGAGCAAGAGCAGAACTGGGCCTAATGCCCCTCCTGTGGATCCTATTGGTTGTAACCGGCGTTTGACCCCAAAGGCAATTACCAGGTGTGCATGATTGCTGCTCAGCTAAACCCTCCTGTGGATTTGATTGGCCATGACCTGCCTTTGACCCCAAAAGTAATTACCAGGTTTGCATGTGCATGATTGCTGCTTGGCACAACTTTTCCTGTCAGGACGGTAATGTTGCTCTGCACAACCTTTCCTGTCAGGACAGTAAATGCCATTAACCGTATTTTTATGTGCGGATGAATACGTGACATTACCCCCCACCTGAAGACCACCCACCGGGCGGGCAGGACCAGGTTTGAGAGGAAACTTGGCGTGAAAAGAAAGAATTTTGCGGCCAGCATGGATATCAGAAGCCGAAACTCAAGAACGGTCAACAGGCCGATACCCCCTCCAATCAACCAAATACTGTAAGGAATCACGAGAAAACCTGGAATCAATGATGGAGGAGACTTCGTACTCCTCCTGTCCAGAAACAGCCAAAGGAGGAGGGGGAACAATTGGACTTATGTACCGATTGCAGACAAGCAGTTTGAGCAAGGACACATGGAAAGTATTAGGTATACGTAAGGACGCTGAATGGGCCAGAGAATAAGAAACAGAGTTGATTCTCCTAACCACACGAAAAGGAACAAGGAACATCGGAGCAAATTTCATGCTGGGGACCTTCAACCTGATGTTGCGTGAGGATAATCACCCACCTGGTAAACTGGATTGAACCTTAGTCCAGGTATCACGAATCGAGGTAAGGTGATCATCCAGAGTAGGGATAGCCGTATCAGAAAACACAGCAGGGAGAACAGCAGGTCGCATTCAGCCGGTCGCATAGGAAAGCATTTGCAATGCTTTGCTATGGACGCTTGCGTGTTCTCACTGTGATTTTCACGCAAGCGCCTCTAGCGGCTGTCAATGAGACAGCCACTAGAGGCTTTGGGGGAAGGATTAACCCATTTATAAACATAGCATTTTCTCTGAAACTGCTATGTTTATAAAGAAATGGGTTAACCCTAGCTGGACCTGGCACCCAGACCACTTCATTAAGCTGAAGTGGTCTGGTTGTCTAGAGTGGTCCTTTAAGGTTTGAAATAAGGCCATATGTCTTAACAATGCAGCGATCTTTAGGGATCAACATGAAAACTGTGGCAAAGGAGTCATTAGGAAATTAGTCACCAGTCTGAATGGAGTTCAGACCCTTCAGTAGCTTAGGCAGCAGTAGGTCCTTAAAGGTACATAAATTACTCACCAACAGACCATTTATTGGGTTTGGATAGTTTAAGTGCCTTCTTTAACTCCTCCAGAGACAAAAGAAAGATTCCAGGTCCTCCGCCATGTGGAAACATTCTGCATGAGAAATTCAGCAATTCTACGCCAATTGCTCTGGCATGACTGTGCAAGGTTATGAAGTCATTATTTTGTCTTCCTCACTCTGGGTTTTTTTTATAATTCCTAAATGCTAACTTTTTGTTTTTAACTATCTTGGCCACATCTGTGGAGTACCACAGTGGTTTCTTGAATTTCTTGTCAGTAAAAGCAAAAAATTCAAGAAACCACTGTGGTACTCCACAGATGTGGCCAAAATTGTTAAAAACAAAAAGTTAGCATTTAGAAATTATAAAAAAAAACAGAGTGAGGAAGACAAAATGATCTATAAGATTAGGCAGAAAGAGGCTAAGCAAGTTATAAGAGCTTCCAAATCACACACAGAAGAGAAAATAGCACAGTCAGTAAAAAAGAGGGATAAAACATTTTTTAGATACATAAATGAAAAAAGAAAAGTAAAACAAGGATTAGTTAGATTAAAAACAAAAGAAGGAAGGTATGTAGAAGAGGATAAAGGTCTAGCTGACTGCCTCAATGAATATTTTTGTTCTGTATTTACAGATGAAAATGAAGGAAAGGGACCTCAGTTGAGAAAAAGGATAAATGAGTCATTTATTACACGTGAGTTTACAGAGGAAGTGGTTCTATTTCAACTGTCAAAAGTAAAGACAAATAAGTCAATGGGACCTGATGGAATACACACAAAGCTATTAAAAGAGCTTAGTGGTGTACTAGCAAAACCATTAACAGATTTATTTAACCAATC